TGAACATGAAAGCTGCAGGGAGAGAAGCAGGAAGGGAAACAGAAGCAACCTGGGGCTTTGTTAGTGAGGGGCCTGAATCTGGGCCATTTTACTCACACAGCCCCGCTGAAGTCTGGTTATCCCTTATTCAACCCTCTGATAGGGGACCGTGCATGTCTCCTCACCAAACTGAGCACCAGCTTCCCTTGGGGGCTGAGCAGTACTCATGCTGCTGGCAGCACGACGACCTGATGCTTTGCCATCACCAGCACATTCCTGTCACAGTGTCCTTCTGAGGCAGAATCACAGAATGGTACAGGTTGGAGGGAACCTCTGTAGATCATCTTGTCCAACCCCCCTGATAAAGCAGGTTCACCTAGATCAGTTTGCACAGGCATGCATCCAGGCAGATTTTTAAAGTCTCCAGAGAAGGACACTCCACAGCCTCACTGGGCAGCCTGTTCCAGTGTTCCATCACCCTGAAAATAAAGATTTTTTTTTTCCTGATATTGAGGTGGAACTTCCTGATGTTCCAGTTTGTGCCCATTGCCCCTTGTCCTGTCCCTGGGCACCATTGAAAAGTGTCTGGCCCCATCCTCTTGACACCTGCCCTTTAGATATTTATAAGCATTGACAAGACCCCCTCTCCGTCTTCTTTTCTCCAGGCTAAACAGACCCAGGTGTCTCAGCCTTTCATTGTAAAGAGAGATGATCCAGTTCCTTTTGTAGCCTTCTGCTGGAGTCTCTCCAGTAGTTCCCTGTCTCCCTTGAACTGGGACGCTCAGATGTACTCCAGATGTGGCCTCATTAGGGCAGAGTAGAGAGGGAGGAGAACCTCCCTCACTCTAGTGGTCACACTCTTCTCAATGCACTCCAGGATGCCATTGCCCTTCTTGGCTACAGGAGCACATTGAGAGACAGAGAAGTGCAATTCATTTCACAGATGAGGAACTTGCACTGGGAGGCTGACTGGCTTTACAGAGGTGACAGGAAACCAACCAAGTCTCCTAAGTCTCAAGTTCACCCCATAACCCTGGGAACATCCTTCCTCTCTTTGGGTGCTGGCCTGTTGGCCAGAGCCATTTGGACATCACTGAGCTCTTATCTAGAGAGAGAAGGTGACGAATGAGGTGTCAGCCTCCTCTGAAGGGCTTAAAAACCCAGCCTGATCATTCCTTTAATGGTCTCACTATTGAGGAAGCTTCCCATTAAATCCCACCACCATCTGCAACTGACTGCTTCAAAGAGCTCTAGGTAACCTAAGTTTAATTTGACTTAAACTTAAGAAGTGACACAGATTTGCACCAGTTCCTAAAAAAAAAAAGGAGTTAGCTTTCCTGCCTGTTTAACATTACCTCAGAACAAGTATACCTGACACAGGAAGAGTGCAGAGGAAAAAAGACAAACCTCCTCCAGGCTTGGTGGATCCAGTTCAGTAACGCACACCAATGCCTGCTTACCTTTGGGCACACAGGTAGCACCACTGAATTCTTCAGAAACACAGGCATGCTCCTGTCAAGATTTGCAGGAGGACTGTGTTTTGGTGTCAGGCTGCAGGCAGCCTTTTCAGCTTTTTTTTTTTTTTTCCCATTTGTTGAAAAGGACGCTAAGCAAGAGTGTGCCTGTGCTTGTAGGGTTGGAGAGCTTCAGTGACTCAGAGCTACAAAGCACCACAGTGTTACTCAGAACTTGAAAAAGCTTCTTGAAAAAATACAGGTGCTTCTGAAGGGGGAACCAGCAGCATTCAGATTCCTCTCCTCGGGCTGAAGGAAACACTTATTCTTGGTGCCGTTGAGCAATCAGATGGCAGCAGAAGCTGTGTGTCATGGATGCTAAAATTACTTTTCACTCAGATGAATGTTCAGACAGACATTTCAAAGAAGATAGAATTGCACGGGCCTCTTTCCTTTAACAGAAAAAAATCTGGAAGAACAAGCTCGGGGGTTTCCACAATCTTTTTCCCATGTCACTTCTGAACAAGAACCTGAGACCTCAGTGAGGATTGCTCATTAGCAATAATCTTGGTTTTGCAAAAATTGAGATGTAAAGGTACATGTCAAGGGGTAACTATTTTGAGATGACACCTTCTTGCACAGTTTAGTTGATTCTGGAGAGTATTCAAGTCATCTGTCATCATTTCACGATATTTTCTCCATTTCATAATACAGAACCAGAGTACCTATAGGAGAGACAACTATGGTCTATCCTGCCTTGTACACCACCTATTCTTTATACTTTGGAACCTGAGTTTATTCAAACCACATGCTTTTGAGGTCCAAGCAGGACTTGCCTGCTGTAGAACTATAATATTTCTGTGGATTTTGGTCTTCATTTGCCTTCATCAAGAGGACTGAGCTTTGACCAATGTTTCCTGATCTGAAGTAGCCCCTGCAATCAACAGCACCCTGGTATCCAGCTAGGACGTCTGCTGCTTTTCCTCATTCAA